GTTCTTTTTCGGTGAATGTGCTTGGCGGTAGCAATTTTCGCATCATGGAGGATACAAAATTTATCTTGCATATAAGTCGTGTCTTTGCGTTCTCAATGACCCAGTTGGGGGCTATAAGTATTGTCTCACTAAGAGGGAAATTTCTCCGTGTGCCCCCACTGCTCAGAGGTTGGGAAGCCGGCCCCTTTTCCTTAATGAAAAGTGGGTTTTCTCCCGCTGTGTTTTTTTAAGTTGTGTTTCTTCAACCTTTCTTGGGGGGGGGGGGGGGGGGGGATGGGGGGCTCAGCAGCAGCAGCACCGCGGCCTGTGGGTATAATTCTAGACTCCTAATGAGAGGCAGAGTGCGGCTCCAGAAGATACCGATGAAGGATCATTACCGCTGAAGAGGGGAAGAAATAATTACAGCGGGAACACAAGTCTCGCTTCCTCTATGATGAATTTACATCACGGGACACAACTCACGTAAGCGGAGATCTGCTTTTTAAGCCGTTAAAGCAAAGACTGAATCCGGCCAAATGAACAGCAGCATAAAGATGTGCTGTTGGGTGTGAAGGTGCATGATGAGTCGAGTGTCATCTCGCCGACAATTTACCTCACTGGCGTCCTCCCGCCTCAACACGCCCTGCACACAAAGAATAACTGGATTTGTTGTATTATTAGCAACTTTCTGGGAATCATCTCGGTGTCTGATTGGATTTCTAATCGATTCATTGTTTGGGGTGTTGTTTGTTTTAGGAAAAGATTGTAGAAAATGTCCTTTGGCCCAAACTGTTGGACCATCTATAACCCCAAAAATATTCCATGTACTAAAGCATATTAGGAAAGCTTAAATAATAGTTTCTGCACTCGTTGAAAAACCTCCGTCACAAGTTCTGAAACACCAACATCCTCACATAGCTTCTATTGTAAAGGCGAAAGGAAAAGTACACCAAAATGTTTCATTTACAAAAAGAGGAGATCCTCACGCCTAAGAGACTTAAACCAGTGTATACGTATTACTCGATTATTGATTATCGATTGAATGTTTCAGCAGTGGGATCCTTCAAGTTCCACTAGTGCAGGAGAACAGGCCGTCGGAGCGCCAACGACGTCACGAGCCGCACGTCACAAAAAACATGCCCGAAAAGAGAGAAGACATCACCTTTTGTCCCGGTGCGAGTCAATGAGAAGACGTCCCCTCGCAGAGAGCATCCGTGTGAGAGCTCAGTGAAGCCGTCATAATCCCAGCGGCTGCGTATTGCTCCATGCGTCTGTGGGACTGAGTGTAGAGGGAGACGACCGGATTCCTTAACAACCCGGTCCCCACCCACCCACAAACACACCCACTAACCCTCTTCCCACGTCCCCCCGGCCCCCCCCCCCGGCCCTCCCTCCCTCCTCGCTCGAAAGGGGCTTAAAACAACCTTTTGTCTCTGTACAATAGAGGTTAAACATTTCCTGGTATCACATGAACAGCTACCACGACCCACAAAGTAACCGGGTGGGTTTTTTCTTTTTTCAAACATCTTGTTACAGACAAAAAAACGATTCGACAAGTTGTTTGTTTTTCGTTGCAGACGCGACCGCCAGGCGGGATGAGGAGGAAGATGACGGGCCAGAACGTCCCGCTGCCGTGCACCAGTTTCTGGCAACGCATTAAAAGCAACACTGACACCTTGATTGCATGTTAAATCCAATGGCACCCAGCGTACACTAGAATGGCTGTCAGCTGCACCGATTGTGGTCGAGTCAATGCAGCTTTCTGGATGCTCAATGGAGGGTGGAGGGTTGGAGGGTGGAGTAAAAGCAGCAAAGCTCCACGAATAAAAGGGGGGGGGGGGAAGCCTCAAGGCACATCGTGCGGACCTCCTTTCACATACAGTGGGAAGGGAAGAGAAAGTGCTCACCTACACTCAACAGATGTCCCCGTGCAATCTAATCTGGTTGACTCGGTGAGGCGGAGCTTGTTTACTGCCGACTCCGTTTTAAAAGAATAGACGTGAAAAGGGTCTTTTGACGTCCCGTAGCTGTGGTTGCAGAGGGCAACAATGGTGGGAGCTGTCCCTTTGAAAGGGCCACTATTCTCTGGGCCCGGCCCTAAATAATGCTCCTCTCATTACAAAGGCACTGAAAATGTGATGGTATCTGCCTCAAAGCACATTGTCCACCACGCTGGACAATGATGTAGACAACAGGATGGCAAAGGTTTTCTCTCTCAGTTGCAGTGTGGAAAGTAACTGTGGGAAGTGCGATTACTGATGTGTGTACTTCGTGTACAACATTTCGCTCCACTACATGTATTAACTGACACAGGAGAGAAGAAGCTGCTAAAAGGATACGCTGGACTTTATCAGGGTTAGGGTTAGGGTTAGTACATACAAATACATTTCACACATTTGTTTGAGCCGAGGATGCACACGTTGCATTACGCAACATTTGAAACATTTAAAACAAGAAAAGCCCACCTATGATTAACAGATCTGAGTACTTCTTCAACCATCGCTCCATTGTTTCCACTTCATATTCCTACAGAGGCATACGAGTTCTGTCATGTATGAGTTCAATGGCTTCCCTTCACGGGCGTTGTTGCACACTGCTGCAAGTATATCATGTCCTCCCACTTACCACGATGAAACCCACAGAGCGTCAGAGCTTCCTCGGTGGTCGAGAACCTCTCCGCGCTGGAAC